ATTAGTACCAAGAAATGACTAAAAGTTTTTGGTTCTGCAATGGTATGATTTAAAGTTTGATTTTCCATTGTGATTCACACAAGTAATTTGTTATGTTAATCAAGGACAGATGAACACTTCAGACACACTTCAGTTTCAATAGTAATGACATCTATTTTTCGTTTTTCCAGCCTTCTTGTATATGTTAAAATATAGCTCATTAAGTACTGCAGGACCTCACAGTCTTTTCACAGTGAACAGTTTAGCATTGTGTTTTCTTTCTTCTGCCAGGCATCTGAACAAGTAACTGTGCTTCCACCAGTAACAGCAGGCATCTAGGCAGTGTGCATGGTTTGGGTGCAACCGAGAGCAGATTTGCCCCTCAGTGTGGCAGTCTTGTTTGCCTTACTCATCTCACTCACTGTATTAGCAAAACCAAGCAAAGTTTTGATCTCAAAGAAATTGTCTGTGGGACAAATATTGTTTGTACAGAACTACCTAAGTGAAGATGTATGAAAGATAAGATTCTGATAGCAGGCAAACCAATGCAGGGGATTTGAAAGAAACTCAGCACCTGGAAGGTGAGTTCTTCTCCAGAGTCATGTTTTTTTCCTCCCAACATACATAAGCCAGCATGGCCAAGCTTACCTTGCCTGGCCAGAGCATGGGCATGCTTGAACTCCCATCCTCACTGCTTGAGCCTTACCTGAAACATCTTAGGGTCAGGTGTTGGCTTCAGTGGCTTCAGTGGCATTTTGTATCAGACCTTAGTTTTCTAAGCGTAAGCCCCTCCAAGGTCTAGCACTCAAACAGCATTTGAGCATTTATTCTCCTGTGTGCCTTGGTAAAAAATTTCAGAGTTCTGACTGTCCATATCTTTTTATTTTCTTCTGCCCTGTCCCCCTGCCCCAAGCTGCCATTTCTCTGTCATTATATGATCACTGCAATTGCATGCACTCCTATTAATTGCACTGAATATCTCTTTCATAGGGAAAGTTTCTACTCTTCTTTTTCCCCCATCTTCTGAAATTTTCCTTTTTTCTACTAGCAACCTGATAGTTGTTCAGAAGCTGCCAAGATGTATTTGGCTCTTGTATTTTCTCCAGATGGAGACTTTTATTTTCACTCATATCTGTTAGTAGGAACTGTGGCATCACCAAACACAACTTTTCTCTGAGATTAATTGTTTTGATAGTAAAGAATAACAAAAGTATAGTTTCTTTTGTGTATGGTTTTTAAGATATTTCTGATGGCAGGTAACATAGTCTAGCCTGTATCCTAGAAGTTCTAGCAGGCTCACAATAGCTATCAATAGTTGGATTTTTCTGGTTTATGTCCCATCAGGAATGACCATCTGTATATGTATCTTTTAGTAGCCTAGGATCATTGTTTAAAAGTAAAGCAAGAAAAGCTCTGGAATAAAATCTCTGGCTCTAAACTGAGCATGGGTAAATGTACCAACTCTTATCTCCGCCGTATCTGCCCTGTATGTATTAGGCATCTTTGTAACCAGTTTTGATTTCATAGAAACATTGAGAATCAGTCTAAAGGCTCTAATAGGCAGAAATGCTGTCACTGATTTCATTACACATGACTGAGTCAAGCCAAATAGCTGCTCTGGTGTGTGTTAGAAGGGAAGGCAGTGTGCTATGCTTCTTCTAATGTACGGGTATAGGTCTGGAATTTAACATCATACCCAGCTCTGCCACTGGGCCAGCTTTCAGGGCCGGAGTATTGAAGGCCCTGAAATTGATACTGTATTACATGGATAAGTCCTCAGGGTATCAAATCTCTCACAGGACTGAGCCCTGACTTCTTATATTTCTCCATCTGCAAAGACTGTTCCTTTTTCGATTTTACTTTGGAATATCCATTTAGAAACTTAGAATAATAAGATAGCCTGTAAATGACCTCTCAGATTAGACACTATGTTTCTGGCTGGTTTTCCTGCATTCTACATGTATTCATGTATGTCACTTCTTTCCTTCTATTAATTTCATTGGTATCCTTTCAGGCAATGGATTCAGGATGGAAAAAAATCGCCTGACTTATTTTAGCTAAGAGGCTTCACATTTAACGGATTTGCTGTTCTTTAATGTCCCAGGTCACTCCTTGAGATCAGCGAATGCCGAATTCCTTATCTTTACCAAATGTTATCTGAAGTCTTGTCATTATTTTGCCTTTAGTGAGTCTCTTTGCTAGCTGGCTTTGGAACCTACTGCCAAATGAAGTAAAGAAAGCTCTGACTGTGGGGATTTCTAAATCCAAAGTTAAAAGTTATTTGTTCTATTTAGCATTTTTAAAATGATTCTTTTAGGAATTGTATGTGCCTCTAAGCTAATTAACTCTTAATGAGCGCAAAATGCCCTGGGATGCAGATTTGGAGGGTACGCTAGAAATGCAGGCATGGATTGGACTGCAATACTGCAGGAGATTAAATTTATGATTTGATTCTTTTTTTAAACGATGGTGCAGATAGTTTTATTGAGATACTTTTTTCTTTCTTTCTTTCTAGTCTAAATAAAGCTGATCAGATTTTCGGTCCACCATATGGGGCCCAGTTATATCAGTCCTGCAAACACACTCTAGTTTTCCGTTACGGATGAAGTCACTCTTCAGTAAGGAAAACAAGTTTAGAAACAAACTTCCATCTTATGAAAGACAGGCAGTGTTCCAGTGCTGAGTACTTAGCCAGAGCATCAGGAAATCAGAACACCTGGCTGTGCCCAGCTCTGTGCTATTCCCCTGGAACAGTCCCTCACCCTTTTAGTGCCTTCACTCATTCATCTGTAAAGCGACTATAATTGCATTTATATCACAAGGGTGCCTTGATGCTTGACAAATGAGAATTGACCCAAAATTCATCCTTCAGAAGCACTGTATGAGCAATACCTTGCCCACATGGCGGTTGTGGACAATTAGATTAGGAGAGGTATAAATGCAGTCAAACTGAAATTCCATTTAGGAACTGTCAAACGGTTCTTGATAATTTTTCTTAGTTTTCATCTAATCCTAGTGTAGAGTTTTGCATACATCTCCCAGGAAGGGTTTTTATGGCTCTTTCCTTTTTTTGCAACAAGCCCGCATATTTCTTTCCATGTTATATTAAACTGTCTTTTTGGGCAAACTGTTTGTTCCCAGAGCAATACCTTGGAAAGCTGCATTTAGCAAAATAAAGAAAAATTATTGTGTCAAAGAAATCTTATCTTCTATGTATTTGAGCAAATTGCAACCACTTACAAGGCTTGTGCATGTAAAAACATATTCCAGAATTTATGAAAAGGGGGTTGCCTAGTTGTTGTTATGTTTTATTTAATTAGATTTTTTATATTTGTTATAATAATGTTTCAAAATTAAGCTGACTTTCTGCAACAAACTGTAGAAACATATGGTGTACAGCCTGCAGTGGCAGTGGTATTACTGATACTATTTGTGAATTAGAATCTGCTTTCCTCTGAAAAATAGCTGTATGTTCTCCCAATTTAAAATACTGTGATTTTGCCAACATGTTTTCATCACCATTAACAGTTTTGGGAGAAAAAGAATGGATATGATTTTCTTAAATACATGTCCTTACTTCTGCATGGCTGTGGATCTTTCAGGGTGAGGGAGGATGAATATCAGACTCAGCCTCTCCTCCATAGGTGCCATGAACCTGCTTAAAGAAACCAGGAGAATTCAAGGGGGCCTGTTTTACCAGGACCTACTTCCAGGTAGCTTAGCCCAATACCAGGAGAAAAACTGAAATAGTTGCTTGGTCAAGCCACTTTTCCTAACAAACGTGAGATCACTTGGGGCTAACCAGATTATGGGATGCCAGGAGGTCTCCTGTCAGCATCCCAGACTAAGCTCCAGCCCTCAGGAACTACTTCCAGAAGGATTTGTAGGTACAGCTTGGTTTCCCAATAGTCGTATGGCTATAAAAATCCTTTGGTTCTTACTTTTTTCAGACTTGCAAAGCACTTTTAAGAACAACTCATGCTAACAAAGAGCATTCTTGTGACTTATCTCTAATGTATGCTTGAAAGGCTTTGTGCCAAACGAAGTGCAGAGATTAGGTAAATGAAAAGATATTACACGTTGCAGCAGGGAAACAGTCCAACTAGTGGTGTTCTCATGAGCACCAGAGCTGATTTAGGTTCACATTCGTCCATACTCAGTCTGCAGAATTCACTTTTTAGACCTTTTACCCTGCTTGGCTTCAGTAACCGGCTTCCCAAGGCTCTCCCTGGTGACTGGACTCACTCAGACCTGAGAGTGCAGACCACACAGTCTCTAGAGCCTAGTCCATGGGAAAATTTGACCTTTCAATAAAGATGCCATGCTGAGGAGGAGACCTGGCAGACTGGTCCCTCAGCACTACTGCACACCAGTGAACTCATGGAGGCAACATCTTTGGCAGGATGTGCAAGCAGAGGTTCCCCTTCCCTTCCTCCCAATGGCTGTCGAAGTAGAAGCAAGGCAGACCATGGTATTGCTCTGACAGCATTAAACTTAGCCCTGATTCCTGAGCTTATCATTTTACTTCAGTAGCTGTGAGTCATTAAAAACTCACCATGAATGCAGAAATACGTGGTCCTTACCTATAATTGAGCTCAGCGCTATGGCTTCAGTGGGCTAATGGAAATTTTCAGTGAGCTCATGGAAATAAGTGGTTTGGTGGAACACATGTCCATCTCTTCAGCTCACTGCAAGAAGTGCTTTAAGGACCGACAAAGTTCCTGTGAATTGATCCTGAACCAATGTCTAGGAGGCTGGAAAAAAGCCAATCTTGAAATCTTCTCCCTTTACCACTAATCCTAGTCAATATAGGTCTCTAGCTTTAATTCAGTTAATTTGGCCATTTCTGAGGGTGATGTGGGTAGTCGACAGAGAGATATTCCTTTTATCTTCACTTGGGTAGGTGGTGTCTAATTCTGAAAGGAACCTCTCAGCAGCTGACAGCAGGTGTCTAATCTGCAGAAACGCCCAGGTTCCTCAATCAAAGAAGTGAAAAAATTCTTTCTGACTGTGTCTTTCAGGATTTTGCCGACTCCGTGTACCAAATGGTTGCACAGAAGTTCCAGGAGCTGACAGACAATTTCACTTCCATGCATGCACGCCACAAAACTCTTGCAGGCATTGTGATGACCAAAGGTAAGATAGCCTCTCATTTATTTTCCTCTGGCATTTTCCATGACTAAGTAATACATTATTTACCTCGTCCACAGTATTGAAGGATGCCTTTACTGCCACACAGAAAAATAAATAGTAATGCAGAGAAAAGAAGCATTAAATATTTACACCTCAAGTAAGTTCACAAAAAATATTGGCAACAGAGGTAAAGATTTCTTCATAAATACACCCCTACATTGCTTTCCTTACAGGCCAAAATGCAGACCTGTCTGATTTCGCATTTCCTGATAGATGGGGGTTTTTTAGTTATCAATAAAAAGTTGTATTATTTATTAATTGCTTATTTAGATCTGGAAACATCAGATTCTTGTTGTGCAAGGGTATTATAAACCTTGTTCTAGACCATCAACAAAAGCAAATCTCAGCCCATTTCCTTTCCAATCAAAAGAAGAAAACCCAGAGCATACGCAGTTTAATTCTGCTCTGCTCCAACCATGGGAAATACTTATCAGCAGGGCCAAAATTTGATACTCACTCCCATTAAGACTTAACTGATGGACACACACTATACAGAAATCTTTAGCCCTTTGATGAAACTGTTGCATAGACAGCCTTTCTTTCTTTGTGAACATACCTCAGTTGGGGCACCTCAGTATTTATGAGGATGTCAGCAGTGGAGATGCTGCCATAAACTTCATTCTCATTCAGACGCGTGGAGTAGTGGATTGAGTTTAGAAATGAGAAGATAAGCTCAGAGGGGAAAGGCATGTATAATTCATCCAGGCTTGTCTTACTCCTTCCTTTCAACAATTACATTAGCTAGATTCAATAGGGACAGCCGTGAATATTGCAAGGCAGCAGGATGGAGACAGGATATCTGCTGGATCTTTTCCAACCACGGAACCTAACTACAGCTAAGAGTTCTGTGCAGAATAACTTATTCTCCTGCTTTCCAATGTGAAAATAGCAAGCAATCCTTTCCTGAAATTAGAAGCAGAGAAGTTGATCTAAGCCATTTAGACCTCTGGTTGAAACTGAACCGATCCTCAGATAAACTTGTTATCATTTTGTTTAATCTGCTTTGATTAGTTATTTTTTGTACTACTTTAGGATCTGGAATAATGGATGACTCTTCCATTTTTTAAGTGCTGCACAGATGCAGTGTTGTACAAACACAAAACATGGTTTGTAAGTCCTGTAGACCACAGGAGACACATTCAGTACCAAGAAAAATAAAAGGGGGAGTGTGATTGATTTTGGGATGTGAAAGATGCACACTAGACCCAGCATACCAGCTGCCTTGTCATAGTCAGGTTTCTTGACTGTGGCACTTGCCAGGTTTAAACACAGTGCTGTAATTTATTTAGAGGACATCTTTCCAAGCAGGTTCACCAGGAATAATTTTAAATATACCTTTTATAAGAAGCTAAGTTACAGGAGTCACAAATTGTTGCTTTAACCACTTTTGGAGGGGAGGCTGTACTCAGCTCAGTGTCCATGTTCAGTTTTCTTACACTCAGTGTAGATTTTGCCTGCAAGAATTTCATCCTATTCTACCTTGCCAAGGTACTACACCCACATTCTTTAGCCCAGGCCTAGACCTGCTTCGAAAAGCACGATGGAGCCAATGCAGCCTCATTGCTATAGGACCAAAGAAGTAGTTTAAAGTCCCACACCATGTGGGAAGAGGAGTCACCTAAAGGACTCATAACTTCCAAAATTCTGGCTGCTGAGTGTGTGCAGTGCTAGAGGAGGAAAGGAGCACATCCAGATCCCTGCTAGCCTTGCTGGGCAGTTGGGGCTGTCTGTGTCTCTTCTTTGGGGATGGGGTGAAAGTGTCCTCCTGACGAGTTTTGTTGTGAGTCCTGGGATTTTAGTGAGATTTTACACATTTGTAGTTCATATTTCATCTTAGTCAGCATTAAGACAAAGTATAATTTTACTTATGTTCACAAATCATTTCCCTCAAAGCTTCTATTTTAATTCTGAATTCCCTTTCATGAATTCCTTCGATCTGTCAGCCATCCAATTTGTCAATATCTTACTGGTTTTGTGGAGCCTAGAAAAGAAACTCACACATATGAAGTGATTCACAGAAGTTGCAAAGCTAGAAACAGCCTTATCTTGGTACATTTTCCAGGAAGATTTAAGTTCTTTCCAGTACCAGCATGTCTGCCGACCATGCAAGATGAATCATTTGCCATTTGTGTTATTATTTTCTGTACTAAAGTTGTAGATTTGTGGTCTGTTCCCCACCATCATTCCCAGAGGCAGCAAGGATCTTGGCACACTGTTCAAAGATGGCACAGACAGGTTTTCCATATCAAACACTCAAATAAGTACCAATTTACTGTGTTTTTAACATAGAATTTGGCAGAAAACCCCTTAGATCTCTGCGAACAATTTACTAATGACATCAACAAAAACAAATCTAGTAATATCTTGTTGCGTTCGGTACCATATGCACCCATAACAGACAAAAATTAATTTGTTTTTACCTTCATTTCAATTTAATATCATCCTGACTAGAAACAGATTTATCTGTGCTTGTACAGTTTTCAGACAAAGCTGGTAAAAAGCACAATGTGATTCTGTGATAACTGCTGTTAAGATAATACAAAATCTCTACAGACAAAACAGAAGTGTGCTAGACTAGTTTTCTTTTCCTGAAATCTGATATTTTTTTCTGCCATTTCAGTTTCCCAGGGAAACCAAAGAAAGTTACATTTGGGCACTGTAATTGACTTATGCTGTAGCACCCAGGGCAAATTCCAAAGTATGAGAAAGAAAAAAACGTAGAAAATTATGTTATTGACTGTGAATGTTCCACAGTAATAAACTGCTAGTCAGAAAAACAGGCAGTCTAATGTATTTAGATATGCTGTGCTCTGAATCGCGATGAAAAGTTAAAATCTCTATTCATTTTTGTCAAAGTTTTCAAAACATTTAATTAGTAGACATCAAGACCTTGAAAAAATCTGCCTGGGTAGGAGCAAATTATCACACTAGATATCAGCTAATGTGATGTTATCTGGTGTAATAAAATCATTGAATATAATATTTAAAAAACTAACATAACAGATCTTGAACTAAACATTTCAAAAGATGGAACAGTTGAAGTAAATTATTTAACGGTTCTCCAGTTATATCTGAAATCTGCCAGTCCTCTAACACATTCTAATTTTGTTGAAACGCATTCAGAGAAGATTTTTCTATAAAATATTGTTTGATTGACTCTAGGAAAAATTAACAAGACATTGCATTCAAATCTTCCACATACAGCAAGTCATATTTCCACAGAATATCTTCAAGTAGAACAATCAGTATACTTGTTACTGTAGCATAGTATTAATATGAGGACCTAAGTTTTATTGTATACTGACTATCCAGAGTAGTTCTCCTGGATTCTCTGAAGATATGGTGGGTTCATATACAGTAAATTAAGAACTTCACTTCACCTGCAGAAAAGACAGTGCAGATAAGATCGCGTGAAGCACAAACCATCACCTCAGAACATGCATAACCAGGCACGTGGTGCAAGGAGTTAACTTTCCTCATAGTGTTTTGCATTTGTGGCTAAAACACAGTTGATAATGCCAATGTTTTGGCTAGTGCCAGACAGTGCTTGCAAAAAGTCAAGAGTTTCGCTTTCGCTCTTATCCCCATCCCCAGCGAGTGGTTTAGGGGTGGGCAAGAGGCTGGGAGGGGACGTAACCCGGACAGCTGTCCCCAGCTGATGAAGGGGATATTCCATGCCATATGACATTGTGCTCAGCAGTAAAAGTTTGGGGAAAGAAGGAGAAGGGAGATACATTTGGGTTTATGGCATTTGTCTTGCCAAACAACTGTGAACTACCGTTATCTCAATCCATGAGCCTTCTTGCCTTCTCTCTATTTTCTTCCAATGACACAGGAGAGGGGAGTGAGTGAGAGGCTGGTTGGGTGTTTGATTGTTGGCCAGGATCAACCAATATTTCATTTCGGGGTATGCGGAGCTGGGAGATAGGAAGCCCCAGCCCAGCACAGTGTGAGGTGGGAGGCGGTGGTGTGAGCTGCACACCAAGTGCTGCCATCTAAAGGCTAGCAGCATTCACACTGTTTATTTGCACCGTGGACAGAGTTTGCCTTTGCCAGCTCTGAACAGATATGGGCATACATTTGTTCTCTACCTGACATCACTGGATGCAGTAAAGAATTCCTGTCACTCAGTGCAGAGATGATCTATTATTGCTGAGGTCCTCTTTGCAAAAAAAACCCTCCCATAATCATTACGGACAAAATGAGACTGCTATTTAAACACTATTTTCCCATTTGTGTTTGACAAATCTTAGCAGTTTAAATACTGATAGGAACTTTTTGTCATGCTTTCTGTTAAAAATGAAGCATTAAGAAAGTTCAGTCCTTTTCACAGGAGCATGGCATTCATAGAAAAAGGTTATGAGTTGATTTCTCACTTCAATTTTCTCTCTTCTTCTGTCTTTTTTTTTAGACTGACAATCATTTTGATGTTAAAAGCAAACTAGGAGGTCTTCTCAGTGATCTTGTATGAAATAAAGATGAACTGGACAAAAGAGCCCTAAATAGCAATTTCATGCTGTGATAAAAGATGGGAAATTATCATCCGTATCTCATGGAACGGATCTTAATCATTGCTAAGTGGAAAACAGAAAAAAAGTAAAGTTGACAATACGTCTCCGTGGATCTTTACAGTCATATTAAGACTCATAAAGCTTGACATCTAAGTACAATCAGGAATATTGATGGCCAATTGATTTCTGATCCTTAGTTTGAATAGGAAAGTTGTAAAGTAGTAAAACACAGTAGAAAATTCAGGCCACATGTAGAGTATCAATCTGTTCCATCCCAGGTTGGATTTAAGTAGCCAAATCAGTTAGAGGAACTGTGAATAATTCACAGATTACAGCCCAGGGCAGATCCCTTCAAGATGAGAGTCACAGAAGTAATTTAGGCTCTCGGGTCCCATTTGCATAGTTAGATGGATGCTAAAAGCCTGGTCCCAG